GGGTAAATAAAATGGCTCCCCGCTGTTTTCTGGGATGTATTCCTTGCTGCACAGGCACAGAAAATGGCTGCCCTATGGAGGATCTTCGCTGAACAGTGAGTTTCCAGCCCATTGGAACGTACTGAAGGGGTTTCAATGTGTTTCAGTGGGCTTTTTATTTTCTCATGACGACGTTTTCATTCTACAGCAATTTTGCTGGAACGAATTACCGTCATAATGCGAGGCACCACTGTATATACTTCTGACTACGGTAGATCTTATACCCTATTTCCATACTACCTCATGTTACATACAGTACTCATATTATATTTTGTTACTCTATTTCAAAATATCTCAATTAGTATCTAACATTCTAAATTTGTAATAATTTTATAAATCCTTTTACCTGCATTACCATCTATCCAATACTCATCATAAACCTTCCCAATTCTATATATAAGATTGCTTGTCCACCAATAAGATCTAAGCCCGGATGATACAATCCTCAAAAATCTCCAATTTTTTGCAAACAAAAAGATATTATAGTTCTGATCTTATCTATAAAAACACTATATTAATCCACACATATTTGATCTCTATGTATGTGCCTTAGAAACAAAAGCATCTAATGTTGTTATTCATCCTCAACATTTCTAAAAATAATAATTACATATGCTTGCCTACCTTTGGGATTCCTACCTGGCCATAATTGCTTATAGTATATTCCTCAAAAACAAGAGAAAGTCTTGTGTTATTTATAGACAACTCACTTCCCTGTTATATCTCTTCATGTACATTAGGAAAAAAAACACAAGGAAAACTCTTGGAGTAAAAAAAATATATGTCTTTCTGCAGATGACTTGGAAAAGGAAGGAAAGAGACATATTTCAGTTCAGCAACAACAGTAGCTTCAACACCAAGAATGTGGATTTTCTGTCACTTGGGAATCATATAATGAGATGGAGATCTTATTTCACAGATATTTTATGAAAAACAAGGAAAACTGGAACACTGTCTCAATAAATAATGGAATAATTATTGGTTTTTTTGTGACTCTTTTGCTGTGGTAGAATTGGCTTCATCTCGTATACTAAGTTGTGCATACTTTATGAGCTGTCAAGTTGATTCTGAAGATCAAAACACAATTCTTAAAAAAATCCGGCCCGTTCAACTCAGTACTCAGGCATGCTCATTCATAATGCTTTTGCCTACAGCATGCACTCACATGCACGCACTAAAACACCAGCGACGTTGGCATGTCTTTGAGTCTGAGTCCCAAGTAAGAGTTTGAGTCTTTGGTAACAAGTCCCAAGTCTTCCTGAGTCCAGAGTCCCAAGTCCAACAGACAAGTCCCTATTAAAAATTACAGTGGACCCTCGACTTACAGACAGCTCGACTTACAAACTTTCGAGTTACAGATTTCTCTGCCTGCAAAATTTAGGTTAGACTTGCAGCCGGAGAATCGACCTACAGACCAGAAAAAACCCAAAATGGAACAAAAACGGAACAAAAACAGCCGGTTACAGATTAATCGGTTTTCAATGCATTGTAGGTCAATGGAGCCTCGACCTACAGACTTTTCGACCTGCAGCCACTGTTCCACTACGGATTAGTTCTCTAAGTAGAGGGTCCCTTGTAACTGTTCCCTTTAAAAAATGCATAGTGGGGTAGGTTAAATTTAGGTATGAGCAGCACGCAATGCAGG